AGAGGGAGACACAGAATCCAAGGCAGGCTCCAGGGTCTGAGCTGTCAGCAGAGAGCCCGAAGCGGGGCTCAAACCCACAAACCGAGAGATCCTAACCTGAGCCGAAGTCGGACGCCTAACCAACTGAGCTACCCAGGCGCCCCTCACTGTGCTTCTTTGAAGATGGGTTCTAAATTATTTTGCTAGTGGGGAAACAGACAGGAAGCAGAGGAGTGACTTCACATTTTAGATCGATGTGTGTACCGAGGGCCTCCTGTGTGCAAGGCAGGCTGCTGGCCCCGCTCCCAACAAATGCATCACACGTATTCTCTGCCCCCCAGGAACTTGCTGTCTGCTGCTGAGTTTCCACCTTTGCAGGAACTGGAAGCTACCTGAAGGCAAGCATACAGGGCACATCTGCTTGAGGGGCAGAAAAAGGGCCCTTGAAGGCTGGCGGAAGGCGGGGGGCGCGGGGGGGGGCGGCTGGGGCACGGCGGACGGGAAATGCTGCACATAGACGTGGGGCCTGGCTCAGAGTCCCGGACACCTTCAGGGATCAACAGGTCGGTACGAGCCTGGGGCCCAGTGCGGAAGGCTGGCAAACCGGGGCGGGTCCTTAGCTGGCCGAGTGTGGCCGGGCTACGGTGCTAGCGTGTGGTTCCCTGACCCTTCCTTTCCTTCCAAGAGAAGGCCACTGAGTCGGAGTGTCCTCACGAGCTGTCGGCTGCGTTGTAAAAGATGTAGAGGGGCAGCTGTGAGGCTCAGTCAGTTAAGCATCTGACTGCGGCCCAGGTCATGATCTCACGGTTTGTGAGTTCGAGCCCCGCATCAGGCTCCGTGCTGACAGCTCAGAGCCTGGAGCCTGCTTCCGATTCTGTGTCTCCCTCTCTCTCTGCCCCTCCCCCGCTCATGCTCTGTCTCTCTCTCAAAATAAATAGACGTTAAAAAGATATTTTAAAAAGATATAGATGTTTAAACATAAAGTTATCCAAACCAAACACGATTGCGGTGTCTCTGTCCATTCGGGCTGCTAGCACAAAATCCCATAGGCTGAGGGGCGCCTGGGTGGCTTAGTCGGTTAAGCGTCGACTTTCGCTTAGGTCATGATCTCGCGGTTCGTGGGTTCGAGCCCCGCGTCGGGCTCTGTGCTGACTGCCAGCTCAGAGCCTGGAGCATGTTTCAGAGTCTGTGACTCCCTCTCTCTCTGACCCTCCCCTGCTCACGCTGTCTCTCTCTCTCTCTCTCTCTGTCCTAGAAATAAAGCATTAAAAATATATATTAAAAAAAAAATCCCATAGGCTGTGACTGTGAACACCATTCATTTCTCACAGTTCCAAGAATCTGGAAAACCCAAAATCGAGGACCAGCAGATTGGGCGTCCGGTGCGAGCCCGCTTCCGGGTGGCGGACGTCACCTCGTCAGTGTGTCCTCACGCGGTGGAAGGCGCAGGGGAGCCATCTGGGGTAGAAGGGCGCTGATCCCATTTCCAAGGGCTCCACTCTTATAACCCAGTCACCTCCCGGAGGCCCCTCCTCCTTCCCTGGGGGCTCAGGTTCAATGCAGGAATCTGAGGAGGGACACACGCTGCGGGGCCAGGGCTCCCGTAAGCCCCGGGCACCATGTGAGGACACCCTTCGCCCGTGTAGCTTGTTCTCCACATGCCTCTCTTACCCTAGGCCTGGCGCCGCTCCGGGGCGCCCGCCTGTAACTTAGGGTTCAAAGAGAAAAGCCATGAGACAGATGGGCAAGGTAGGGCCGGGGGTGTGGTCTCTGACGTCAGGCGGTGGGCACTGGGGAGCCCGTGAAGGTTTATGAGCAAGAAGGGAGATGACTAGAATGTGCTCCGGGAGGGCAGGGGAGAGGTCGGGCCAGCTCAGGGGCGGGGCAGGCCTTGCTACGGGGCCAGGCTGGGGGCGCAGAGGCTGGACAGGAACCGAGAGGGACTGTCTTGTTGGAGGCGGTAGTGGGTTAGGAGTTTGGTAGTGGGTTAGATAGTGGGTTAGGTAGTGGGTAGTGGAGGCGGTAGTGGGTTAGGAGTTTGGTAGTGGGTTCGATAGTGGGTTAGGTAGTGGGTAGTGGAGGTGAGTAGTGGGTTAGGAGTTTGGTTCTGGAATCAGATGGTCCGAGTTGAAATCCTGGCTCCTGCCTACACTAGTTATTACCCTGGGCAAGCGAATTAATGTCTCTCTCAGTCACAGTCTTCATCTGTACAATGGACATCGCAGCAAGGCCTGCCTACCTCCCAGGATGTGGTGGAGAGTCAGTGATGCCATCTATGTGAACAGTGCCTGGTATATGGTGAGTGCTCAGAACGCTGCAGCAGTGAGGACAGTGGTAGATGCCGAGGGACTCTAGGGTCACCAGTGCCCACGGAGTTAAGCAAGCACTGGACCCCTACCGATGGTATTCCTTGGGGGATCTTTTAAATAAACCTCCCCAAACCAAGGCCACACCCCATTCCAGTTAAATCACAATCTCTGGGGTGGAGGCTGGGCATCAGTATTTTCTGGAAGCTTCCCAGCAGTTTCTAATGTGTAGCCAAGCTTGGGAACCATTGCTAATCTAGAACCTTGTATGCCGGAGGCCTGGGCTGGACCTGACCTTGAAAAGACACAGACACACAACCATTTTGTAGCTGGAGGTGAAGCCAGATGGGGGTGGGGGGTGGAAGGGCGGATGGCCTTGGGGCCCAGCTAGGGACTACGATTAGGGCTCCGGAGGTCCTTGCCAGCTTGGCAGCCACTGGCGCCCCCTCCCCCCAGGCTGGGATAGAGCCCGCTGCCCGCCCCCGCAGAGGGCTCCTGCGCTTGCGACCAGAGCGGCGGCTCCGAGCCCGGCTTGGGCGCCAGAGGGAGCTCGTGGGGACGCGCCACGGCTCCATCCCCGCAGCTGGTTCAAACTGGTTTGGGCAGGGTGCGGCCTTGGCGGGCTGCGTGCCAGGCCTCAGGCTTGCTGCCTGCCCCAGGGTCTCCCCAAGAGCTAGGGACCGGGGACAGGGCGCTGGCGCAGCCGGGCGCCACTGCGAGGCTAGGAGATTTTTACACATTCATCCCCTTTGTTGCAAACCATTGATTTGGCCTCCCTTGGGGGTCCCCGGGGAAATGCCCGCAGCAAGAGGGAGCCCTCAAATAGGGGTCATTCTCGGACTTTGGCGAGCATCGGAGCCCGCTGCAGGGCTGTTAAAATGCAGATGTTTCCTCCCCAAAGATTCTGATTCAGAAAGTTGGGGGAGGGCTCCGGGCATCTGTATTTTTAGCAAAATGTTTCTAAGGCATAACCACATTTAGGGGAGAAAAAAAGACTAAAAACAAAGTGACTGTTGGCCAGCCGGCCTAGGGTACGGATCGCTGAGCTTCTAGAGAAGAGCACAGATCCTTCCTGAGACACCCCGGCTCCCCGGAAAGGGGGACTGGACAAGCTGCACTTTTAGGTAATATCCCAGGCCTTTTTGTTGTTGCTGTTCGTTTTACTTTTAATGAGTCATTTTGGACATTGAATAGGTTTAACTGTTATAACAAACATCAGCAGAAGAAATAAAGCACCACAGATATCGGTGAAACCCTATTTATAACCCTCCTCGGTTCCCCCACCCCCCCTCGACCGCTTCCCTGAATGTGGCCCGCGGCTCCCATGTGCAGCTTTATACTCTTCCTCCATATGTCTGTATCCACACACAATATAGAGTGTGGTTTTGCATGTTTTTAAAACTTTATGGTAATGGCAGCGTGCCCTAAGCGTGCCTTCTGCAACTTGTCTTTTTCTTCTTTTCTCTCTCTTTTTTTTTTTTAAATTCTTCTTAGCATCATGTTTGGGAGTGTCATCCATCAGGGGGACGTTTGCTGTGCCCAGGTCTCTTGGACTAATCTGAAGCCAGTTCCAGGCTTTTCAGAGGCAGGGCCCGCAGCCAGCCTGCAGGGGTGAGGGTCCTGGTTCCTGGCTGTCTGTGTGATGAGCGGAAGGGCTCCGAGCATCAGGAACATCTGGACGGTAATGAGTGGCCAAGTTCAGGTTCTGTGGGCTCCTATCCAATCCTGTAACTAAGCACCTGTGGCCCGACCCTTTGCCAAGATTTTTCCAGAATGCGTCTCTGACCTGAAGGTCTGAATGTTTGGGCAGGGGTGTGGAGCACTGAACAGGGGGCAGGTGTGAGAGTGACGGATTACCCCAAAGACAGATCGAGGACGTGTTATGCCCCCTACCTGGGTGGTCAGAAAAACTATACATTTAGATTTAACGGGACTAAATCCCGTTAAGGGGGGGGGGGCGAGGGACATGGGATGTTGCGTATATTTATTTACCCCTAAGCCCAGCTTCATTTTGTTAAACGAATGTAACAATTTAAAAAAAGACGTCATAGGACAAATTAGAACTCTAGGCTTCCCCACACCTCTTCACCATTTTAAAGATTTTCCTCATTAGCATTGTTTTGGGGGGATGCACCCCGCCCTCTCCGCTCTCTAGAAGGTCTAAACAAGCCTCCCACGGGGGTGTGTATGGGGGGGGCGGTCAAACAGTGCGCTTGAGGATTCCCGGGGGAGTTTTTTCTACACGCTGCCCCAGCGAGGAAAAGGACAGCTACAACCCGCTTCTCTAATTTCCAGGTCTCTCCGCTCGGCTCAAACACGATGCTGGAACAGGACGACCCTGGGGGCGGGGACTTCGGTCTTTAAATGAAAGCACCCCGTTCTCTATCCTGGATGCCGGAGACACCCCGGGAGCTTTAAACCCTCCTGAGGCCCAAGCCCCACCCCCAGGGATTCCGGCCGAATCCGCCGGGGTGAGGCCTGGCTTCCGGGCCTTCGAAAGCTCCCCGGGGCCTTCTCCAGGGCTGTGGGGGCTGGGATGCGCGGCGCCGCCCGGATTCCGCCGAAAACGCGTCTCAAACCCGGCTGTCCGTAGGACTCCCGAGGCGAACTTCCAAAAGCGCTGGTGCCCAGGTCCCCGCCTCGGGGACTGTGCGCTGGGCTGGACTTCGGAAGCTTGAGGAGTCCCAGGTGATGACAACATGCAAGCGAGTTTGAAAATCTCTGCTTTCCCAGGTGCTGCGAGGGCCGGGCGCAGTGAGCGCCGCGCGCCACTGGGTGGCGCTGCCCACTCGGCCCGGCGTTCGGGGAGGCGCGGGCCGCGGCCGGGTGCGCACCTGCCCCGCCTCCTCCAGGCGGGCCGCGGGGCATGCAGCGGGGCGGGGGCGGGGCTCCGAGGCCGGGACCCGGCCAGCGGCTCCCGGGCAGCCACCGCCAGCTGGACCCCGCCGCGCTCCTGATGCTGCTCCTGGACGCCGACCGGCCGGAGCCCGTGCGCAGCGGGGCGCGCGAGCTCGCGCTCTTCCTGACCCCCGAGCCCGCGGCCGAGGTAGGGAACGGGGGATGGAGGTGGGGGAGAGGGGTCTCGGGTGGCGGTGGGCGGGGGGGGAGGTGTCTACGCCCTCGCGCCCCGGAGGCAGAAGAGGGTGGGTGCGGCCTCCGGCGCGCGGGGACCCGAATCCGAACCTTCGGCGTCCCCGCAGCGTCCTCGAGCGCCGGACGCGAGGGCCCCCTCCTTTGCGGAGAGAGGACTGCCCAGAGATGCGCGGCATGTTGCGCCTCTCCCCGCTTCGGCCGCAAGACCCCCGGGGGCCCAGAGTCTTCTCGCATCCGGAGCCCCCCCCCCCCCCGCCGGCATCGGCCGGGCTCTGGGGAGGCCGCCCCCCGCCCGGGTCCGGCGCCCCGCCGCTGCGCGCAGCCGGTGCCGGTGGCCGGGAGGAGGCGGGCAGGCTGCGCCTGTGCGGGGAAGTACCAGGCCTCCTCGGTCCTGCCGTTGCTAAGAGGGAAAATACCTCGTCTCTATCTGTACTTTCTATTTTAAAAGCACAGAATAAAAAGTGGATCTGAAACTAGGCCCTTCATCTTCCAACTGAAGCCAGTCTGTTAACAGCGCCGTGGAAGTTATTTACCCAAGTCGCCGGGAGTTATTTAAGGGTTGAATTCAACTCCTTCTCTTTTTAAAGCTCAGAAGCAGGACAGAAATACATCAGGTAAAGGGTGAGCACTGTCTTCCTTCTCTCTGCTGCCCCAGCTCCGGGTGCCCGAGACGATCCTCACTAGCAGCGCCTTGCGCATCATGCCACACACTCAGAAAGCGCGTTGACCAGTGCGGGTAGGCATCTAGGTCCCTAATAGCATGTAGCCGTTCTCATCAAACGCTACTTGATATAGCAATGCCGTTGTGGCTTTTTTTTTTTCTTCACTCAAAATAACATAGATAAACGGGGAGTGACTGCTAATGATAAGGTGCGGGGCTTTTTAGGGTGATGAAAACGTTCTGGAATTAGTGGTGATGGTCGCACAACTTTGTGAATAGACTGAGAACCACAGAGCTGTACGCTGTTAGACGGTGGGTTTTATGGTATGTGAATTACATCTCAAGTTTACAAAATCCCATGGACATATTTTCGTGTCAGAATGTATCCCTAAGAGTTGTCCAGTAGAAATATAATCTGAGCCACAAATGAGCCACTCCTGTAATTTTAAATATTCTGGGAGCTGGGGCGCCTAGGTGGCTTAGTCGGTTAAGCGTCCGACTTTCGCTTAGGTCATGATCTCGCTGTTCGTGGGTTCGTGCCCCGCGTCGGGCTCTGTGCTGACTGCCAGCTCAGAGCCTGGGGCCTGTTTCAGTCTGTGACTCCCTCTCTCTCTGACCCTCCCCTGCTCACGCTGTCTCTCTCTCTCTCCTAGAAATAAATAAAGCATTAAAAAATAAATAAATAAATATTCTGGGAGCTGTGAAAAAAAAAGAAACAGGTGACATTAGTCTCCATATATTTAAAGACACAGTTCCTCTAAAATATCAGTCATTTTCAACGTGTGATCAATGTAAAAAGTGAGGTTTTTATTTGTGGTTTTGTGTGTGTGTGTGTGTGTTTGTTGTTGTTTGTGGTCCTAGGTTTTCAAAATCAGGCTTTTATTTATTTATTTAATTTATTTATTTTTTATTTCTAGGAGAGAGAGAGAGACAGCGTGAGCAGGGGAGGGTCAGAGAGAGAGGGAGTCACAGACTGAAACACGCTCCAGGCTCTGAGCTGGCAGTCAGCACAGAGCCCGACGCGGGGCTCGAACCCACGAACCGCGAGATCATGACTTCAGTGAAAGTCGGACGCTCAACCGACTAAGCCACCCAGGCGCCCCCAAAATCAGGCTTTTAGCTTCAACTGCCAGCATACCTCAGTTGGGACCGGCCACACTGTAAGTGTTCAGTGACCATATGAGGCCGGTGGCTTCCGTGTTGGAGAGCAGAGTCTCCATCATTCTCTGGCTCCCTAGTACCCCACAGCTAAGAAGTAACCACTCCCGTCTCCTGGGCACACGCTGTGTGCTAGCGGCGCGCCTAACCCTGTGCGCAGACTGTCGTTGCTCCTGGCAGTGACCCAGCGGCGAGGCGGCTTTTAGGCCAATTTTACAGCTGAGAAAACTGAGGCCCTCATGGAGCAAGGGACACCCTACGGAGGTGCTGGCACTTGCGAGCCGAGCCGCCAGGAATTGCGTTTGGGTTGTCTACACGTTTTCCCTGGTTTAAGTAACGAGTGCGTCTTCCTCGTTTCTTCCTTCCCTCCTTCCCTCCCTCTCTCTCAGCAGAGAGATGTCGCCGTGCCCGCGGCTAAACCTCAGCTTCATTCTGTCTCTATTAAGGACAGCCTTGCAGGGAAACCGCGCGCATTAACTTCATTTTCTCACTCCGGGCCGCCTTGAACTCTGGCTCGGGCTGCCTCGCGCTCGTTTGTGAGGATGTAATGAGCAGCCCAACTCCCTGCAGCTCGGCGCGGCAATCAACGCCCTTGCAGTGCTTGCTGAACTTTATTTACTGGGAGCGGCAGAAACTGGCGGCCCACAGTCGCTCGCCACCTCTGCCTAAGGCTTAATTCATTAGCAGGTCGGCGCCGAAGCCGCTTGCAGACGGGCCGGTGAGCACAGGACCGGACAGCAGGCCCCTTCTCCCGGGGCCACTTTTGGCTTCTGTTATTATTACTTTTTTTAATGTTTATTTTTGAGAGAGAAACAGAGCACGAGTAGGGGAGGGGCAGAGAGAGGGAGAGAGGGAGACACAGGATCTGAAGCAGGCTCTGCGCTCTGAGCCATCAGCACAGAGCCCGACGCGGGGCTTGAGCCCACAGACTGTGAGATCATGACCTGAGCTGAAGTCGGAGGCGTAACCGACTGGGCCACCCAGGCGTCCCCACTGTTGGCTTTTAAATGGAATGGGAGGGGCCTGAGACCAGCGGGCTCCAGTCTGAGGGATGTGCTGGGCTCCTAATGAAGGGGGCCTGCTTCATTCGACACCTTGAATCTCCACTACGTGGAGGGAGCTGGGGACAGCACTGAAGCACGCAGGGGCCCGGCCTCCAGGACGCTAAGACAGCAGACACGCAACACACAAAACCCCTAGATGAGGCGGTGTGGGTGAGGGTGTCTGTGTGAGTCGGGGAGACAAGGGGTGGGGAAGGTCTCTGAGGAAGCTGGGACCTGAGTGGTACCCACTGAGGAGTGTGCAGGGAACAGGAAGCACGGAACTGACTTTGTTGGGGTTGCAGTCATGGAGGGCTTCCTTGAGGCAGCAACACTCTAGGCTGAGCCCTGAAGTGTGACTAGGAGTTGACCAGGCAAAGAGGAGAAAACTATTCCAGGCAGAGGAAACAAAACTTGCAAAGGCCCTGGGGTGGAAAGAAGCAGGGGTGCCCTGAGGGATAGAAGAGCAGCTGGTGGAGGGGTTGCAGAGGGAGGCGTAGCTGGTGAGGAGGGCGGAAGCTGAGCCCCACGCTGCTCTGTCTCCCAGGATGGCTGCAGGGCGGCGGCTCGTTGAGGTCGATTGGCAGGTGAGTGTTTTACTGTTTCCGGTGCCTTTGGGGTATTTGTTCAATCAGGGTTTTGTGTCTCACTTTCTCTCTTTTTTGGGTTTGAACTTCCTCTTTTGAGGGAGGTTTCAGGGCCGCCTCCGAAGCTGCTCTGAGATGGCAGGGAGAGAGATCACTGCCTCTTGGGTGCCCCTCTGATTTACAAGGGAAGCGAGCCCTTGGCACCCCCCTCCCTCCCCCCCCAGATGGCGGGGCGCAGAGAGCCACCCACGGGGACTTCCTGGCCAGGCTCTTTCAGAATCCTATTTGGTTCCTGTGCTGGGACACAGGTCAGGCTTGGCCCACCGATGAGGTTCATGGCTGAGGTGGAAGTCAGCCGGCACATTCTCATGCCCAGGGGCTTTGCTTGAGTGAGCAGAGGGTGAGAGCAACAGAGCATTCGGGTCTTTTAACCACAGGTGGGTTAGATCAGAGTTTGCAAACTTGAGGCCCAGGGGCCGAATCCAACACTCTGATGTGATTGGATTGGTCCACATGGGTTGTGTAAATGGAGAATTTTCATGAACAATTCTGAGTTTGTGATTTATTTAAAACGTTAGGCAATCTGTTGTTGTTATTTTTAAAGTAAGCTCTATGCCCAGTGTGGGGCTTGAACTCATGACCCTGAGATCAAGAGTCACATGCTCCATCCACTAAGGGGTGCCTGGGTGGCGCAGTCGGTAGAGCATGTAACTGTTGATCTCGGGGTCATGAGTTCAAGCCCCATGTTGGGTGCAGAGCCTACTTAAAAATAATAAGGGGAACCTGGGTGGCCCAGTCTGGTTAAGCCTCTGACTTCTGCTCAGGTCATGATCTCACAGTCTGATCTCAGGTCATGAGTTCGAGCCCCGCGTCGGGCTCTGTGCTGACAGCTCAAACCCTGGAGCCTGCTTCTGATTCTGTGTCTCCCTCTCTCTGCCCTTCCCCTGCGCTCACTTTCTCTTTGTTTCTGAAAAATCAACATTAAAAAAATTAGGAATAAATAAAATATTAGCTGGTCTGGTAACTCTAGGTCCATGTTTCCTAGTTGTGGCCCGATTTGCCATAGTCCCCACTCCTCCCCGTTTAAAATAAAATTTCTTTTAATGTTTATTTGAGAGAGAAGGGAGAAGACCAAGCGGGCTCTGCACTGTTAGCACAGAGCCCGATGCGGGGCTCGATCCCACGACCTCGGGCTCGATCCCACAATCTTGGGATCGTGATCTGAGCTGAAATCAGGAGTCGGATATTCAGCTGACTGCGCGCCAGGCGCCCCCACCCTCCCCATTGTGTCCCCTGTACTGAAGGCAGCATCCGCTTCTGTTTACCCTGACGCTTGAACTTTGGTTTTTCCGTCGTCGTGTAGGGAGGAAACAGAATGACTGCTCCAAACCATGTGTTTGGACTGAAGAGAAGCATAAACTGGCCAAAGATGCCCCTGAGTTTCTTGAAAACCGTAGAAGAGGCTGCTTCTTTGTGAAAAGGGCTGCTCTGTTGCGTCCTGTCCGCG